CAACAATTTGGATGGCTTTAAAAAGGGGTTGGATGGATTCATGAGGGAGGAGTCTACTTGTGGCTACTAGTCTTGTTGGCTGTGGACTCGCTCCTTCCCCAGAGGTGGCCTACCTGAATACCCCAATTGCTGAGGAGCTGGACAGGAGGAGGTCTTGCACCCGTCCTGCTGGAGGGATCCTGTGGCAGCTGGTTGGCCACCATGTGTATGGAATGTTGGACCAGATGGACCCTTGGTCTTACCCAGCATGGCTTTCCTTATCTTCTTGTGATTAAAATGTCATTTCAGTTCTTTCTTTTTCCCTTATTTAAAATAAACAGAATGCAAGAGAAAGCTAAACTGATGTATATCCATCCCTACTTGCAGGTGAGGCCCAGGTGAATCGCCTGTACTTGCACTCTTAGGCGGTACCCCCACATTGTAGACATACTCATAGGAGTATAGCTTAGAGTTGCTTAGACCAGTGAAGGCAAACCTTTTAGAGACCAAGTGCCCAAACAGCAACCCACAACCCACTTATTTATCGCAAAGTGCCAAAACTACAATAAAACCTGAAAACTCACAGCCATTCCAAGCAAATATATATGTGTATATATCCTTGGCAGCACACTGACCGACCATGCAAAAGCTTGGATGAGTCGCAGCTAATGAGTCGCAGCTTGTGTCAGCATCGCCTGGCACCACTACTCCTTTCCGGGCACGCGCAGGGCCCCTATGTGCACTGCTATCTGACGATTGACTGCTGGGGCGATGCTGAGGCAACTTGGCTCACATGGCTGTGACACACGTGACATAGGTTCACCACCACCGACCTTACCCTACCCTGGTGCTACCCCTAACCCTAATTAATGTACAGCTAAAGTTCCATTGAAAATAGGACGATTTTGAAAAAAGCCTTCCTTCAGTAGCTATTTCTGTACTGCTCAACATTCTGCCCATTCTAAACACATTCCAACCATCAAAACCATGCCAGGACACATCATTTTTCTAATCCTAACCCTACCCTGCTGCACACCCCTAACCCTAATACAGGGGTGAAGTTCCACTGAAATAGGATGATTTTGAAAAAGCCTTCCTTGAGTAGCTTTTTCTGCACTGCTCAACATTTCTGCCCATTCTAAACACATTACAATCATCAAAATCATGCCAGGACTCATTTTTCTAACCCTAACCCTACACTTGTGCACACCCCTAACCCTAGTACAGAGGTAAAATACCATTGAAAGGGCCAATTTTGAAAAAGCCCTCCTTGAGTAGCTTTTTCTGCACAGCTCATCATTTCTGCCCATTCTAAGACACATTCCAACCATCAAAACCATGCCAGGACACCTCATTTTTCTAACCCAACTCCTTTCTGAGCATGCACATGGCCCCTGTGTACGCTGTTATCCAATGTTTGGCTGCTGGGGCAATGCTAGGGTGACTTGGCTCACGTGCTAACAGAGAGGGTTCTGTGTGCCCACTGTGGCATGCGAGCCATAGGTTCAGCACCACTGGCTTAGACTATTAATCTGTGTAACCCAATATCACTTACTCTGACTGGCAACAGCTCTTCAGATACTTTTCACGACGCTTTGGTTAATATTGCAATTTATAACTCATGGAAGAAAAGCTGAAACAAGAACCAAACAGTGAGGGCCTGGATGTGAAATTTAGCATTGATAATTATGCATGCTGCCCCTGGTTAAAATTCTATCAACATTCTGCCCTTGGTTAAAATTCATGAATCACATACTGTGAGTTTATGAATCCTTATTGTCATGCAAAAGAAAATGCTATGGTAAACTCAGGTCTAAGGGCCATCTGAAACTGGGTTTTGTCTGTCACCAAGCATTTTTTTTATTGTTGTTGTTGTTGTTAATCCTTTCTTTGGACAGCTGGTATATTTGGTCAGATCTGATCTTTATGTCATTTCTTCTCGCTCTCTTTTCTCTGTCATTCTCTCTCTTTCTCTCTCTCTCTCTAAAGAAGGAAGCCTTATTTCTCTCAAACTAAATATGGAAATATTGCAATTAATTCATTTGTCAGGTTATTTTCTACTTACACACCTGAACAACTTGTTTTGTTATCTCACCTGCTGTAATACAATATTCTGACTTGTCTGTTTATGCACGTTGTTAAATAAATTGTTTACTGAAAAGACAATGGACACTTTTATACAATAGGCTAGTACTGATGTAAACATTATGCAGTGTTTTATTGCACAAATGTGGTTTTGAACCACAATATCTAGCTGAAATATCAAGCCTGGTTGCTAATTGCAAAATGAAGCTTTTTGTCTCAATAATTAATTTCACTGGTGCTAAGCTGCAAATTGAAAACAAAAAATGATTCCCCAGTTCATACTCATTTGCTCATGTGTTGCCTGTAGAACAGATGGTTTAATTTCAGAAATGTCTTGCAGTCCAGTTCTGCAACCTATCGGATGCAGTATAAGGCCTGCCTTAAAGGACAGACCGGAGCTCAGTGATAAAACGCATATTTTGTATGCAGGAGCGCCCAGATTCCACCCTAGCATTGCCAGGGAGGGATGCAAAATTTTCTACCTGAAATCCTGAAGAACTACTGCTGCCATTTTTAGCAATATTGGGCTAAACAGGCCATTGGCCTGACTCAGTGGCTGCATTCACACAACACAATAAGCAACCTGGAATGGTAACCATGGTTCACACATTTAGCCATGATCTACTTGACAATCAAGTGGTTTCTAATTTATTGTGGTTTCCATTCTCTCTCTCAAGTCTTTCCACTGTTGCCAAGTATGCCATGAGTCACTCCACCTGAAATTCAGTCCCCAGGTACAGTACCCTCTGCTGATGACATCTGCCTCTTCCTCATTGGTCCACACAGAATGGCTGGATGGCAGGAGTGGCTCCTGAAGTTGTCACTCTTTTCATAGGACTTCATGGTAATTGTACACCAGGACCATGGAAACCATCATCTTGGGTTGAGACAACACAAATTATGATGGTACAGAGAAACCATAGAATAAATCATTGTTTCTAAGCAAATCATTGTTTCTAAAGATTAAACTTCCCATGGTGAAACTTCCCGTGATATACTCACCATGACTAGAGTCAGACAACACAGCAGACCAACAAGGGTAAAAGACAGCAGGGTTTGTTGTGATGTCTGAATGCAGTCAGTGTGGTTCAGTATGACTTTCATAGGCAAGCTCCTATGTTCCTAAGGTTTGCATTTTGTCTACACTAGCAGGTACTTGGCCATGGAACTGTTTGTCCAATTTCTTCCAGAAATAACAGCCATGGGAAGCTCCATTCGAGATGCAAGTATTATTCTAACACATCTACCACCTCCAAAATCCACACCTGAAGCTATTACTTGTCCACAAAGGGATCGTTTATGGAATGGACAATAGTCATGTATCCAATTCACACAACACTGAAAGCATAAGGGCTTTGTGTACAAATTTAAAAAAATCAAAATGCAATAAACAAAACACAACCAATCAAATTATAATAATTATAATTTATCATGCATTTATCATTACATTAAGATGGCTAATGTAATTCCAATGACTTAAATACAGAAACACAAGGCTTTAAGCTGAAACCTTACTGGGCATCATTTTATAGGTCAGGAAGGTATTACACTAAGACTTTGATCTGAAGTCACTTTTTAACATACTCCAAAGCAGGACTTAATTTATACTGTTAAATTATATTGTTTAATATTATGTTATTTATTTATGATTGTAAGCCGCCCCGAGGCTTCGGCGAATGGGGCGGCATAGAAGTTCCCTAAATAAATAAATAAATAAATAAATAATAACAGCTAACATAAAATGTTTCTGGTTGGTGTTCAATGGGTGAGTTTGTCCATTCATGAATATCTCTCAAGCGAGACTCCAAACCAAGTCTTGACACATAAACCTGATTAACTCTTATTCCTGTATTTCCTTTCAAGGAATCAAAGGCAGCATGCCTAGTCCTCCTGTGCTCCATATCACCTCCAACAACCCTGTTAGGTAGGCTCCTCACACACTCCTACTTCTGTGTATACGTTTATATAAGTGGCATTGACATCAATGGGATTACTTCTGAGTAAGTGCCATTGAAGACAATTGGCTTTCTTCTGAGTAGATAGGTATATCCTTCCCTCTCCCAAGAAGGTAAGGGGGAAGCAGCACTGCATTTGCCCCCCTCCATTTACTGAGGAAGTCTGGGGGTGGGGGGAGCTGTAGGCAAGGGGGCACAAGGTGGAAAAGGAAGTGATGGCAGACCAGCCTTATTTCCTTTGCTGACTTTTTGTCAAACCCTGATAGGAAAATTGTCAGTGCCACTCTGTTTCCTAGCTCACTCAAGCAATGGCTCCTTTTCCTAGTTTAGCAGCCACTGGAAGATGTAGCTTGGAAAAAATCAGTGTGTTAAAAAGTTGTGATATGCCCCCTTCAAACTGGTATTTCTGACCTGAGAAATAATCCACTATTCTCATGCAATAAAGTTTGACCTATTTAGTTGCCTCTTTTATTGGTGTTGTCTCTTTATTTCCTCACCTTGGGATATATTGAGTCTCTCATTCATGTCTCTCTCTGTGTTTGTGTGTGCGTGTATGTGTGTTGAAAGAGAGAAGAGAGAGAGCTGTTATCAGCAAAGCAAATACCAAATGCTGAATTTAGTGGAGCTACCAAAAAGGAGCGAATAATTTCCTGAATTATGAGCCAGTAAATATAGCTTTCAGGGTTCAAATTGAATAGCCTTTGCCTCCAATGTGGTTCGGAACAAGAAATCAAGCACTCCAGACCAGGAAATGCCAAAAGTTAAGTCAGCCATGTTGCATATCCTGTACTGAGTATGACATACATTGAAAAATAAACAGCAATGCATTGAGGTTCATGTTGAAATAGAGGGAATTTAGAGAGAGCCAAGTGGATGCTATATTAGGAAAGTGAACTTTTAGAACTTCCTGATCTTGAAAGTCTGATTTCCTATCCTTAAGGACCTGTCAACATTCATGTTCTTTTCTTTTTGCTTTCACAGTGACTGCACATTCCAGTGCATATCTACGCAGAAGTAAATTGCACTGCATTGACTAAAGCTTAGCCCAAGGTAAGTAGCAGGTTACAGTTTGCATTCTGTGACTTTCTTTTCACCTGGGTGACATTCAGCAACAGATAGAGGCATTTCTGCATGAAGGGTCAGTACCTCCTGATTTTAAGGAGGCCCAGCTAAAGAGGCCCTTGCAGGACATAATGGGGTTTGACAAGCACTTTCCAGAATTTGGGGTTCTGTGAGATATTATAGAATAATAAATCGTAGAATAGCTGAGCTGGAAGGGGCCAAGAAGGCCTCTGGGTCCAACCCCCTGCTCAGTGCCAGGCTCAAAGTTACATCTACCTTCCCAGCTGCATCTTGAATCCCTCCAAAGCCTCCTTGGGAATTTGTTCCACTCTTGGATTGCTCTAACAGTGAGGAAGTTCTTCTTGATGTTCAGATGAAAACGGCTTCCTGCAATTGACCCCATTAGTTTGTGTCCTGCACAATGGGGTGATTGAGAAGAGATCCTGGCCTTCCACTGTGTGACAGCCTAGCTTGTCCTTAAAATTGCTCACTATCTAAGCAGTGCTGCTGGGAGAGGTCCTTAGGCAATTATTGAAGCCAAGCACCAACAGCACGCTTAAAGGCATGTGTGAGGAAGTCATTTTGGAGGCTGTAAGTCCATCCGATTCCCTGAGTTTGGCTTTCCAAACTTCAGCCTGCTTTCTCACAACTGTGAGACCAAGTTCCTGATGAGTGCACTGAATGTCTGCATGGATTCCTGACAGGAAGCAACCCCTCACGAATGCTCCATAAGCTCCATGCATGTGACTTGCAACCTTTGTGCTGCTTATACTGCAGAAGAAGGTTGCTAGCTGTGCAACCAAGGTCTCCCAAGCATTTGTAGACTTCCTCTCAGCTTAGCTTACTTCCAAAGTGATGGCCAACTATGAGCAGAAGCCTGATGACCAGAAGAGGACTGGATTCTGGAAAAGATTGTCATGACCCTACATCCTTAGGACACACAGCTCTGTCTCTCTGTGACATCCAAATCAAGTGAGGCAGTCCCAGGGTCCATAGCAAATCTCAGTGAAGGGCTGGATGAGGGCCAGCAATAGGAACCTGACTCTTAGCAAGATAGGGGCCCCATAAGTGAGTAGTCCCTAAGGCTGGGACATAGACCTGCTCCAGATGGGTTGTATTTCCTCTGAAAAATGAAGTCAGCAGTCTGGACCAACTCTGTCACTAGAAGTCCCAGTGACTCTGAAGTCTGTAGAGCCTTCTACCGGTTCCAGCTGGAATACCACATGTGGCCTGAACTGGGCTGTTATAGCTTAGCCACAAGCATGATTAAGCTCAAGATTTCTGCAGCCTGGTCAGAGTATGAGTGCCCTTAAAGTTGGTCCCGAAGCCACAGCTAGTGCAGGATGAAGCAGCTGTTATCAGAGAGCCCCCTTTTCACCAAGAAAGTCCTCTGTTTAGGAAGCTACACTGACTGCCTATCCATGGTTGGGCCAGGTTTCAGGTTTGTTATTGGCGTATAGCATCCTAAACAACTGTGGACCAAAATAGGCAATAGACAGCTTTCTCCCTTACCAGCCTACCTAGTCACTGTAGTTGTCCGAGGAAAACCTTCAAGTGGCCCCACAAGGACCTGTGGTGGATTGGTTGACCTTGGACTCAACTTGGCAGCCAATGTAGCCTTCATTGTATTGGCTGTTCGATTCTACCCACTGATTCTACCCATTTACCAGACCAGAAGCTTACTCAGTACACCTTCAATTTGTACACTTTTGGTGCATGTGAAGCAGAGCTTGCTTGGTCCCATTAAACAGAACTTGATGAGAAGCTAGAAGCCTCATGAGATAACACACAGAGGTGATTATTGAACTCCATGCGGCTTTAGTCTGGATTCACAGACTGATGGACACAAAAGAAAGCTGAGTTTTGACAGCCTCTATACTGCCTTTTGCTTGGAGTGTGATCCACCTATAAGAGAATCACTTTAAATTCCCATAGATTTCACCAGGAGAGATTTATAGGATAAGCCAACATTTGCTGACTCAGAAATATATCCCAGCACATCCAGTGAGGGTTATTTCCTGATAAGGATGCACAGGACTACAGTCTCAGACATATGCTCAATGGCATGATTTGAATCATGGGATTTAAAAATAGGAAGCCTTGATGGATTGTGCCCCATCGTCGTGCCTGGAGGAGGATTCACCAGGAGAAGAGGAGAGGAAGAGCCAGTGCAGTGGGCCCCAGGCAGAGGTGTGCAATGAAGCTGAGGCTGCAGCTGACAGTCCTCCACTGGAAGAGCAACCTGGGGGGCCCTAGACTCTTCCTGGACTTCCCCATGAAGAGGGGCAGAGACAGAGGGAATGCAGCCCTTGGAAAAGAGGAGCCACAAGCCCAAAGATCAGATATGGGAGCAGAAGGTAGAGTGCAGGGCCTCCCTTCAGAGTGGCCTCCTGACCTAATTAGCAAGCCATGCTGATTTACAGCTAGTTATAGATCAGCCCTTCTGCAGCCTGCTTTCTGTTGCAGACAACAAAGTTTCAGCCCAGTGTTTGCCTTGGTCTTTGGAACTAGACAGAGTCCTTGACCTTTCATTAGCTCCTCATACTCTGCATGACAAATTCTACAGGCTGCCCTCTGGACTGAAGATGCAAGCACATGAACTTCACACCTGCTGACTCAGGAGCAGGAAACTCATAATCATGAGCATCTAATAGAGAGCTTTTATGGATGCCTCCCTACGATCCTTGGAGAGGCAGATGCAATACAGCAATCTGTAAAATAAAATGTAAAAAAGGAACAAAATGATAATAATTTACTAGAGGTGATTTTCATAAAGTCTGCCTCTATTAGTTATCATAGATATGATATCATACCTGTGCATTGGTGTTTCCTTTTGCTAATAGACTATATATTTAGAAAGCTTTTCCACCTACATCCATTTGCATTTACTTATTCCATTTATCTCTTGCCTTTTCTTGCAAGGAATCCAAGGTGGTTTACACAGCCTCCTCCTTCTTTTCCATTTTATTCTCACAGCAACCCTACGAGGTAGGCTAGTATCTGGCCCAGTGAGATTCATGGCTCAAGTGAAGACTAGGACCTTGATCTCCAGAGTTCCAGTTCAGCACTTTAATCACCACTGAACTGGCCGTCATCTTTCCCTTCTTCTTTCTCCTTTATTTTGTGGCAATCATGTGCAGAGTCTTACATATCCAAAAACTCTATGTTGAAAGGTCTGTGGCATACAGAAATGAATCTAGTTTCTTTAGATTTGCATCCAGGGAGCATCTGGCTCTTTATCCCATGAATTCTACATGCCTATTACCCGGAATTCCAAATATCTGTTTCAATAGTATAGCTGTTGGAGTTTGATCTGAAAGCTGTTTCCTAGGTAACCAACAGAATACCCAAAAAAGATCACTGTGTGGCACCAAAACCTATGCACATGCCCCAGTGTTATCTTTCCCTAAAAGCAGGGAAAGATTTGTGCTTTGTAAAACATTGTAATCACATCCACGCTCACCCTGGTGACCTCAAAACCGGGTGCATTTTGTCACAGAATTATTCAGACCACAGTAAATAGACAGTTTTAGGCAGGTATGAACGAAGCTGTCTGTTTCCTCTCCACGCCACCTTCACATGTTTTTACAGGTGATGAGTAAACTTACTTCAAGTGGGTTTGTCATTTGCTTAGGAAATAATGAACTTGTCCATGTAGGCTCAAATGAGAGGTCACTTTAAGAGGGATCTCCTTGGAGACAGAAAAGTGGTGTTTAGAAGTTGGTAGGGTGACTATCCCTATGGAAGCTGTTGCATAAACCTTCATCTTTTCATGTAGGAAGAGGGGTGGCAGCTTAATGTTGTCACTGCATGTCGTCAGGTCATATCTGACTTAGGGTGATCCTATGAATGAACGCTTTCCAGAACGTTTTATCCAAGATAGCCCTGCTTAGCAGTTCTCAATTCAAGCCTGCGGCTTCCTTTATGGAGCCAATCAGTCTTGAACTTGTTCTTCCCCTTCTTCTGCCTTTGACTTTCCTACATGATCGTCTTCTCCAGGGAGATTCGTCCTCTCCTGATGTGGTACCAGCAGTGGCAAAGAGGAAAACAGCACCAGATAAAGCAAGGAATAATTAATATACGAATACAGTGTATGTGCAGGAATCACACTGTTAATGTACAGACAGCACATGTTGAGAAGCTTGTGATCTTAATATTGCATTTGTAAATTGTCAGTTCAGGCTCATTAAAAAGATGAGCATTATGAACTGGCAAGGACCAACCAACAGTCAAACTAATTGTAAAATTGAGAGACATGACTAGTTTTTACTAGGGATGGGAAAGAAATTCCATTGGCTCCTGTTTTGGTACAAGTCAAACTCATTCACACTTTATGAACCAAAAAGTGAACTGGAATGTAATTCTGCTTCAGTTTGTGTTGTTCTCTGAAATTTGAAATCTAGATCTTGGATCAAAAATGCATACAAAATATGTGTATCATAGAAAATTGCAAGCAATTTCGTATACATGTATGAGAACACACATTTAAGGGGAAATTGTTTGCAGAGGCATACAATGAGGACAATGTGTACCACAGTGCATGTTTCCTTGATGTACAAGGAAATGTGCATAGAAATGCATGCCAATTTTCATGCATACCTTAAAAAGGAAAACTCATCCTGCTGCAGAAATGGTAAGGAAGAAACCTGCACACACACACACACACACACCCCTCTACAAAGTGAAATGAAAAATATGTGTTTTTTTCTTAAAATAGGCATATAAATCTGCATTTGGACACACTTATCTTGCAATCCTTTATATGTCTCAGAACTAAATCTCACTGAACTCAGTAAGGCATATTCTAAATAAATAGGTTCTCTATAGGATTGCAGCCCAGTAGAACTTCCTGCTGAACTGACATGTATAGGATTGCACAGTTAAAATCCCGGAACATTTGGAGAAGTGCCAAACCTGGTACATTGCCAAGTTCCAACCGACACTTTGGCTCAAGATTTGTGAATCAGAGACTTTCATTTGACAACTCT